GCCCATAATACAACGGAGACGCCGGGTGCTGCCACTTGGTAACGGTTAGCCCTTTGGTCTCCTCCCTCGCCTTATTCTCAGCCATCAACAACACATCTTGGCTTGAATTACCACAAGGCGAAGCTGATACAAGAGGGGTCAACAACGGTATAGCCACATTCCAATTCGACGCCCGGTTTATCACAATGGACGCCGGAGCCTGGCTCTGCAGCCGTGTCGGGTCGCGACCCGGCGGCGTTTCTTCTCTCCGAACCACCTTTTTTTTTTTTTTGTCTGAAGATCGGAGTGGGTTAGTAAACACAATTGTCGAAGAAGCTTAGAGAGAGGAGTGTGTGATTTCTCAGATTCAGGTACGGAGATTGGTCAAAATTCAAAGGCTGAGTTGGCCATGTCATTGACTGTTTCTGAAAATCCTAAAAAAAGAGTTTGGTTTACCGGACACCTGAAATCTCTATATTCCACGTGGAGATGTAGGATTCGGTGATGCTGGACTACTTACTTACGTGACCGATCATGTACACGTGTATGGTCTACATTTAGCGCTTTAATTGGGAATGGTTGGCCAATCGCTGTCTCGAAAAATAGACTTTCTCTAATGGAATATTACATTTTGTATGCCTTATTCAAGAGAAGACTTTTTTGCTGCTGACTTTACACAAAATGAGGGCCATGCTCATTGGACTTCTAATCTTCTGATGCAATAATATAATATTTACCACTAATTTCCACATTTATAAATAAATAATAAGTTATGTTCGTCTAGAAAGCATCTTGACCTCTTCAATCCTCACCGTCCAAACTTCCTCGTCAGTGAAGGCAGCGTGGACTTGTTGCATCCGTTCCTCCACGGTGTCCTCTCCACGTGGTCAAGTCCATTACAAATTTTGACTTTTGACTTTTAATAAACTTTGACTCATTTTCTTTATAACTCAAATTTGATATGGAAAATCGAAGATTTATAAAAGAAAATACTTTCATAGTGAATCTTTTAACCAATTGTGCATTTTTTGTGTTTTGATTTCGCTGAAGGCATTTGATAACTTTTTTGGTTGTGAGTTCTATTGATATAACTAAGTCAAGTGTATAAGTCTCTACGTGTTTAGACAAAATTAAAAATTTGATAGTAGAAGGGGTTGGCCAAACTTTTCTCTTGGTGTTATTTATTTACACAACAAAAAAAAGTTAGAATAGACCATTTGCATCAAACGACATGTGCACTCTAGAGAAGCGTGGCGGTGTCTTCATACTGACCCTCACCGGCGACAACGAGCACTGGATCGGCCCCACCTTCATTTCCTCCTTCCTCTCTCTTCTCGCCCAAGTCAAGTCCCAAGCCACTCGCGGTTCAGTCCTCCTCACCACTTCCCATGGCCGCTTCTTCTCCAACGGCTTCGACCTTCCTTGGGCCCTAACCGCCGCCTCCAAATCCGCCGCTACAGACCGCATACTCCACCTCGTCCACATCTTCAAGCAAGTCGCCGCCGCTCTTCTCTCTCTCCCCATGCCCACCATCGCCGCTGTCTCCGGCCATGCCTCCGCTGCCGGTTTCATTCTCGCTCTCTACCACGATTACCTGCTGATGAGGCGCGACAAAGGTTTCCTCTACATGAGCGAGGTCAGTGGTTATTTGCTTCTTTTTTTTTTTTCTTTCTTATTTTAAAATTTTATGTTTAATTATATAAAATAGTCATCACACATTCTTTTAAAATTTGAAAAGTTTCATATCCAAAATTTTTGTTTGAAAGTATATTAGTTGATTGATTATTTTAACAATCTCGAAATTATATTTTCAAATTAAATAGTCGTAAGTAATATACATACACCTTATAATTTTGACACATCTAACTATTAGTTGATTTCCATTATTTATTTTAATTGACAATATATTTTATAAAATAATTTTCGATTTCAAAATTTTTTTACACAAAATTTAAATTTCGAATACATAATTGAAAATTTTCAAAATTTAAAGACAATTAAAAAATAATTATAAATTTTGGTGGTTCCTCATTTTTTAAAATTATAAATTTAGTTTATCAAATTTTTATTTTTTTTAAGTCATGAATTAAATTTTTATTGACTTATTAAACATCCACCATCACAGGTTAAAAAAGAGTTTAAAAAAGAGTAGTATCATGTTTAATACTATTAATATGATATTTAACATCATGTTAAACTAGTGCTATCATGTTGGACATTGGCATTAATATCATATTAAGTTCACTAATATCGTGTTAGTTTGATATTAAAAAAAAACAGACATTACCATTAATATTATATTAAATTATTATTGAAACCAGCGATTTAGTGACTAATTTATTTGTAAATTTTGTATAGGTTTAATAGTTTTTCTAAATTTTCATTTATGCATTTGTGATCTAAAATTTTAAAATATTCTTATGAATATTAAATAAGAAATAAAAGTTTGAAAAGTTTGAAATAACCCTACCTCCAACTTTTTGGTAATGAACTTGAAAAAATCCATTAAATAATCAAAATAAAAATGTTTATAATTTGATTAGTTAAAATATTTATAATTTTAGCAAAAAGGTTGGACATTTGGTAGACAATTTAAAAATAAAAATTTGAAATTAAGGGATTTAATAAATAAAAAATAAAATTGTATTTCATGATTTCATAGACGTGTTTTGATAGTATATTTATAAATTTTATTAATGAGCTTAATAATATATTTACAGCCCATAAAATTAGTTATAATTGTATACCAAATATTAGGTGGAAAATAAATTATTATTAATTAACTTGGGCACACTTTTTATTAAAAATGTGTATAATTAATGTTTCGCGATATTCTATTGTTACTTTAACAAAAATTAATTGAATATTAAATTATTGTTTTACAATATCATATCATTTATAATCTATTATATTATACATTATTTTCTTAATTTAACAAAAATTAATTGTTTACTTTAAAAAAATTATCTATTTTTAAATATAATTATGAATATTAAAACTTTTAATTCAAAATCCATACGGTCTAAATAGTTCATGCAAAATGGAAGTTGGTTGAACTTAAGGGTGTACCTCCAACTTGAATCCAACCCTTAATTTAAGTGTTGGATTGGATTTAAAAGGATTTTGAGTTTGAGTTGGTTCGTTATTTGAAACTCGAACCGAACGTTCAGTTCGAAATTCAAATTATTTGGTCATCTTGACCCAACTCGAAAACTTTAGAAAAAAAAATAGACCCACTCCAACGCAGCCTAAGTCCATGAGTCATTGTCTGCGTCTACCCCTACCTTGGCGTGGCTACACTCTGCACACTGTTTCTCTAACTCTCTATTTCTCTGGGTCTCTCTGCTCTTTAACCATGAGTTCGAAACTTTGTCGCACAGTCTCATGCAGTGTTCGTCTTTGTCCTCGTCCTCGTCCTCAATGGTTACTGGGTAAGTGAAATGAAGTCTCTGCTCTCGCACTCGTAGTCTCACACACTCACATCACAATGTTAGTTTTCGTTGTTTGTCATTTGACTCCTCTCGGCTCTTTGTGTGTGTTGTTGTTCAACTTCTCACTCTCGTCTGATCTCTGTGTGTCATCGAGTGTCGATATCGCTTGCCTCTATTTCTTTGTTGGACTCTCTTCTCAGTTCCCCTTTCTATGCTCAACTTTGTCTATGTGTTTCTCATCGAACGTCATTGTCGACTTTCTCTCCACTCGACACTTTGTTTCACTTCTGTCGGACTTCTCCACTTTGTGTTTGTCGTCGGAGTTCTCCGCTTAACACTCCGACCTAAACCCAACCCAAAAATAAAAGGTTGGGTTGCATTGAGTGGTGAAAATTTTTGAGTTAGGTTGGATTACCAATCCAACTAACCTAAGTAGTGTTGGTTTAAAAAAATCTATCTAACTCAACACAATCAGATAACATATACCATGTAGAATCCTTAATATTCTCAAAATAACAACTAAACACTTCAATATTTTCACTTTTTTGAGGATTTGATACTGCATGCATCCACAAATTTGAAAGTAATTTAACAGTGAGCTTGTAATCAAATCACCATTTATTTATAGTGCCATGAACGATAGTGTAAAACTCAGACGAGTGACTACGAAACATTGACATTATAATTTGTTCATATGCTTGACAAGATTGACATGGGGTTACATTTCCCGGATTACGTTGCGGCGTTGATGAGGTCAAAGATCAGTTCAGCTTCGGTCCGGCGGGACGTGCTGCTGGCGGGGATGAAGATCAACGGTGAAACAGCGACAAAGTTGGGAATTGCAGACGCTGCATACAACGGCGAGGAGACGCTGATGGACGGGGCGGTGGCGATGGCGGAAACGTTGGCGAAGAGGAAGTGGGATGGAGAAGTATACGCAGAGATTAGAAAGAGTTTGTATCCTGAAATGTGTTCGCTGCTAAATGAACCGAGTTCAAAGATGTAAACAGACAAGGTAAAGGGAAGTGTAGTTGCATTCGATGCGTCGTTTTGGTGGATCCCGTCCCAAAATAAATTAATAACTTTCCTAAATTGTTTGTTTGGAGACACGTTAGTAACAGTATTCTATTCCATCTTATAAAATATTTAGTCTATTTTACATGATGATCATATGTGACTTAATATTAACTGAGTCATGTACTTCTGCCGGTGAAAGATCGTCCTTTTAATTTACTAGGTGAGAATGATCTTAATAGTTGATGATTCAACACGCTTAACATTTTGGAAACTTATCAACTAAGGAGTTGAGAACATACTCTTATTAAATGAAATTTACTTCTTCCTCTGTCTAGGATATATAAATTAGTAGTTTCCTGAAATGCTTATTTCGAGACACTTGCAAAAATTCGAGATGAACAAAGTTTATAGTTGGATTATAAACCCATTATTTATATTATTCAACAACTTAAAAATTAAAGAGTTTAATTAATTAATTTGGTATGGTAGGAGTTTAGATGGATAAGCATATTGAAAATTATATTTGGTATGCTATTTATGTAGTACAGTAGTGATAATGAATTCAAGGAAATTTTTGAATTAGAAGAAAATCTTGATAAGATTGAATAGTCTATGAGGCCGAACGCTAATTTTTTATTTGAAGATAAATAGTGTGATATTTGGTTGAATTCCGAGGTAGGATTAGAAGAACAACCTTCCAAAGATGTGCACGGTCGAGAAGCGGGGCAATCTCTTCATCCTAACCATCACCGGCGATGACGAGCACCGCCTCAGCCCCTCCTTCATCGCCTCCATACTCAAAGCTCTTTCCAAAGTCAAGTCCGAAGCCTCCCCAGGCTCCGTTCTCATCACTACTTCCCATGGAAAATTCTTCTCTAACGGTTTCGATCTCTCCTGGGCTCAAGCCGCCGGCTCTGTTTCTGCCGCCGCCGAACGCCTCCACTACATGGTCCAGATCTTCAAGCCTGTTGTCGCCGAACTCCTTTCCCTCCCTATGCCCACAATCGCCGCCATCGCCGGTCACGCCGCCGCGGCCGGCTTCTTATTAGCTCTCAGCCATGATTATATGATCATGCGGAGCGATCGAGGCGTTCTGTACATGAGTGAAGTAGATCTAGGGCTAACTCTGCCCGATTATTTCTCGGCGCTGTTTAAATCGAAGATCGGCTCGAGCTCTGTCCGCCGCGATTTGTTACTGACGGGAATGAAAGTGAAAGGCGAATCGGCGGTAAGGATGGGGATCGTCGAATCGGCGCACGAAGGCGCGGACGGCGTCATGAAGGCTGCCGTAAGGCTCGGGGAACAGTTGGCGGAGAGAAACTGGAACGGTGAACCCTACGCGGAAATCAGGAAAAGTCTTTACCCTGAGATCTCTCGGCTGCTTGGATTGCCGGAAAAGTTCTTCTCGATTTCTAAGCTCTGAGAATCGAAAAAGTAATTGTTCATCTCAATTGGCAATTGTGCTAATTTATGATGCGAATATCATGATTAGTAATAAATTTCCTGTGCCGTCTTTATTTTAAATCCATCGTGTTTTCTCGTAATCTGAAAGCTGTGATGAAGAATTTACATTGAGGGATGACCGGATAATTGTTTGTCGGGACGCCAACAGCCGGCAACCGTCTGTGACAATAGCTATGTTGCCGGTCCTATAGGTGTCTATTTGTTCGGCCTGAAGTTTGAGTTCTTTTTTTAGTATGCAATCACCATAGCCTTAAGCATGTCTATTGATAGCACAGTTGAAACCAATGAGTTTATATAATTGAACATTTAACATTAATCGACATACTCATTTAAAGCACATGATTAGGCTTGGGCTACCTGCCTAACATCAAGTGAATAGATTTATTTACCACTTTTTAGCACCGTAATTTTTGTTAATAGGGATCAAAATTTTGATAATACCAAGATTAAAATGAACCAAATTTGTATAGTATTTGAAGGGTTTTTTTTTTTGTGGGCAAAAAGCTACTTTTTCTTGATGATGAATGGACGAAAGATATTTTGTCACATGCATTAAAGTTGAAGATAAATTGAGGAAGATTTTGAGTTGAGTTGAGTCAAGAGTGGAGGCCAATTAATTTAGCAGTGGAAAATGTGCACACTTGAGAAGCGAGGCAATTTCTTCATCCTAACTCTGACCGGCGACGACGATCACCGCCTCGGTCCATCCTTAATCAACTCCATTCTTAAAGCCCTTTCACAGGTTAAGGCACAAGCCACCCCTGGTTCAGTTCTCATCACAACTTCCCATGGCAAATTCTTCTCAAACGGCTTCGATCTCCCCTGGGCTCTTGCCGCCGGCTCCATTTCTGGTGCCCGTGACCGCTTAAACCACATAATCCAGATCTTCAAGCCCCTCGTAGCCCAACTCCTTTCCCTTCCTATGCCAACCATTGCTGCCATCGCAGGACACGCCGCTGCCGCTGGTTTTGCATTGGCGCTCAGCCACGACTATTTGATTATGAGGAGCGATCGGGGCGTACTATACATGCGTGAGTTGGATCTGGGTCTTACACTGCCGGACTACTTCACGGCACTGTTTATGTCCAAGATGGGCTCCAGTTTGGCTATGCGCGACCTGATTCTGAGGGGGATGAAAGTGAGAGGTGAAGCGGCGGTCAGAATTGGCGTTGTGGAATCGACGCACCATGGCGAGGACGGCGTCGCCAACGCTGCAGTGCAGCTTGGGGAGCAGCTGGCGGCAAGAAAGTGGGACGGAGAAGTGTATGCTGAGATCAGGAAGAGTTTGTATCCTGAGGTGTCTGAGGTGCTTGGGTTACGGGGGAAGGCCATATCCATTTCTAAACTATGAATATAAGTTCCCGATGCCATCTGTATCGTTTTGGATCTCATCAATACAATTGGCTGACACAAATTGGAATCCAAGAAACAAATTCCCATCTATAATATGGAATCAAAACCTGTGTCTTTTTTTGTTCTAATACATACCTATGAGTCTTATAAAAAAAATGCAGTCTTCCCCACTCTAGCAAAGTTCAATATTCACCAAAGATATTGCAAGTGCTTGGAAAATTGTTTCTTTTAATCAAAGAACACACCGCTGCGGCCACAAAATGAAGAAAGAGTGCCTCTGCATCCGATCAGAAGTATTAAATGCCCCCATGTAGGACATGTCATGCAAAGAATTTAACCTTCTTGGAAACATTAGCTTTCCAAAACCCTCTTAAAGGATTAAAAGAAGAACAAATATCTGGAGTCCCTGGATGGATAAGGTTATAAGCTAGAAGAAAGATTAAAGCAGCAACATATAAAGCCTACATATCACATAAAAGGCCTGACGAAAGCCAAAGTTGAAAGTAAAGGAAGGAGCCAAAGAGGAAATGATTGAGGATAGAGGTTCAACCTCAAGGAAAAGAGATGATAAAGCCGAGGGAACATAAGGGACAAAGGTCTATTATCTATTCCCAGAAATATGGGAATCAGCATGAACTATTTGCCATTGATTTTGATGGGAAATAGAGGCCGGGGTGAAAAATATGTAAAGACAAGGGAAGATTCGACTCAATTATATCTAATTTGATCCAGTTAGCGTGGCTTGGATCTTTGTCTCTGTTAACCCCATCAAACCTTAAACCTTTTTTAGGAATATCTGACACTGGGAAGCTTCTATTTGGATTAGAAACCGAAGGCAGAGAGCGAAAGGGAAGAAGCAAACTAATTAGTCCTGCTGATGCTAATTTAAGAGTATGGAAAGAGTTGAGTAGCTTATCAAAGTCATCTTTTCAGGCCAACACTCGAGAGAACCGTTTGTTTGTTTGTTTAATGGTTTCTTATGGGGGAGATTAGAATGGTAATCTATTAAGGAAAGTGACTAGAAAACCACTCCTCGCATCAAGAGTGACAACCCTTTTGCCATTGAATCTCCCAAGACTTCTAAGTAAAATTCATGGTGAATATTGAACTCTATAACTATGGGATACAGAGAAGACAATAGTTGGAAGGAGCCAATTCCCCCCATATACAACATTGCTACTTGAATTTTGTTAGGAAATACAAGCATCATCACTAACGGATGTACGACATAGTTAGATGTCTGCATACTTGATAAAAACCAGGTGCTCACCTGATGAACCACTGCTGAACTGTTTTAGTCCTTCATGCTGACCATTTCATAGAAATCTGGTTCCACTTTGGAAGATGACACCGAACTCATAACATGTGGTAAATTGATGTCAAATAACATTTTATGCAAAGTCAAGGGACTAAAATCAAATGAAATAAACTTTAGAGACCATGAACTAGCCTTAAACTTGGGGGAAAAGAGATTTAACCTTTTAAAAAAATTCATTTCACTTCTTTTTATTAATAATGTCAGTGCTCGAATCAATGCCCAAACTTTGGAGGCATCAAGGAATTTTCTTATTAAGCTCACAAAAGATTCAAAACGTGACCTCTAGGCAAAGGAGACCGTGGGCCTTAGCCAACAGGCCACCCCTTGGAGCTAAATAACTCATTTTACTTGTTTTTATGATGTCTTGATTATTCAAGCAAGATTTACAAAATGATAAAACAGAAAAATAGCAGATGTGAAAAGGGATCTAAGAAGTACCTCGGTTGTCACATGTTTCTGAGACCACCAGAATAGCAGAATACAAGTTTCTTTCACTATGGGGGATATGCAGATCTTCTATCAAAATCCAGTCCCAAATAGCACGAGTCCTCAAGTACCTGAAATGTACCAGATAAAACTTCAAAATAAAGTAATGTTCCACGGTTGTCAAATGTAGAGTAATATTGTGAGATATTCAAATGACCCCTGCGAATAGGGCGGTGCAGGCAATATGGCTCACTGGGTGATAATTTAATAGCATCCTCACCGCAAATAAACTGTCTATATTTGATTTACACCAGAACTAAGCTCTGGAATCAGTATCTACATGCTGGTCCAAAGACTCATGGTTCACATCCTTGGAGCTTGAACTTTCTGCAAAAAACAACTTATGGATATAACAGAAGAACACATGATGTGTTATCAAAATACATTGTTGAATCAATGGTGGAGAGGGGGAAAAAGCAGAATATCATCATGTACCCAGAAAGAAAAATTCTAAAAGAAAAGCCAGATACATGCAACAGATCTATCTTGTAATGCATGTTAAAGATCTGATGACAATAAAGAATATGTAAACTTATACAAACAGTGGAAAGAACACAGAGAACATGTCAAATTATATTTTGTCATTAGAGGACTAATACAACAAACAATACCCATAAAGAGTAATTTCAAATTTCAAAATTTATTTTAGTTTTATGAAGAAGATGATGAAGAATAAAGGACTGGTACAACGTTGCCCCTGAAAAGTGATGATAGAAGATTGAAGATTGAAGATTTATTTTAGTCTAAGGCTTCAGGGTTTTATCAAATTTTCTGGGTTTGTAGGCATCCCAAATGGGTATAAGAAGTGCAAGACACGCCCTAAACACTTCCATGCCTGCTAATGGTATTAGAAAAGGTGAAGTATGGCTAAAAGAACCAATAATAATCTTAAAAATTGCATGCCATGCAAGGAAATTTCAGATTGTGGATTGAAAATGTGAAGTAGTTTTATCCTCTTGTAATGTAAAGTTAAGCATACCAATATAATGGAAAAACAAAAAAATAAAAATTCCAATGAGATGGTTAATAACGTTGGTAAACTCAAAGGCATTCTAGATAGACTCTTTAAATAAACAGATAATTTGATTCTCAGGTACATGGAGCTACTGCTCCATCAGTCCAAAAAACCACTTACCAGTTTGCTACTCTGCTTGCTTCAAAGTATGACACAAAAGAACAGCACATGAATAGACGATAAGTGAGATTCAAAAAGTGAACTAAAATGGTCTCCTAGTTAGCGTATGCTTCTACTTCCTCTTGCAATTTAGTTCATCTAAAGGAGCACAGAATAGTTTATTACACGTTTCTTCTAGTCCTTCAAACTAGAATGCCATATGCTTAAGAAAAGCAACATGAAGCCTATCTTCTACCACAAGTTGTGTATCAGACATATTTAACTGAGAATGTGTTCTCGGAGAGTATAAGAGAAAACCAAGAATGTGTTTTCAAGTTGAAAATAAAATACAGCCAGATAAAGTTACATCACTGTAATAAAATATGTAACAGATGTTAATCAACTTCATTACCACTGGGTTCAGATAACAATTTCGGTTAATGTTGTAAACATCTTAACGCGAATTCTAAACCTGATCTTGAACATTTCTTTTGGGCACTTGATTGGTACAACGAGCAATGCAATGAGGAACATTAAAAGGAGCATCCTGCGATGCAAGGCCAATCCTAATATTTGCAGATCCTTTACACCCAAAGAAGTAGCGTAAAAAAATTAGAGCGTACAAAATATGATTAGCTCAGTGAAAATTCGGAATTTGCGAGGATGAGAAGGAGAAGCAGAATCAGAAACAAATATGTACGAGAGAGACGAATTTACGGTACCTGGGTTTATGACTACCAAATTAGAACCTCGGTCGGAAATAAGTTGTGTGAAGGCACAACTGATTTCAGGTAATCCTGTCGGTGGAAATCCAAACAAACTGTTCAAAAAGGGTCGAAATGAAGATGAAAATACAGAGCTCAGCTCTTTGCCCTTACCATGGCGAAGGCGTTCGTCTTGCAGCAGTCTGCAGCTGGCACCACACCTCAAATTGGCGCTAATTACTAACGTCCGGTGACCCGCCGTAAATGCCATAACCAGTTCCACATTTTTTTTCATCTTTTTAATATACCAGAGTTACAAGAATTAATCCTTCTCCGAATTTCTACAAAAAGAAAAAAAAAAAAAAAAAATATATATATATATATATACATATATTCCAATCTAATTATTAAAAAAAAAAAAATCAATTTCATCGATTAGACATATATCTTAAAAATAAAATAAAAAATTAAATTTTTTTCTTCTTCCTTTTGTATTAGATTTCCGTAGTAACTCCTTAATTAAGGGTATATATCTTAACGGTGAAGTTATAAGTTCCAATAAATAAGTATCATTTTTATATAATTTTTGCTATTTAATATATAAGTTTCATATTTCTTGTATTGGCTAGTGTTTAGATCATTCTTGGTTTCTCTAAAAGTGATATTAATTTCAAATTCATTAGAATTTAACTAGGTGGAATTAAACTTAATGCATTCAGTAAAGGGCAAAGTTTTCTTTTTTATTTAAAAAAAATGATGAAGATTTGAATTAAAATTTTAAAAAGGTTATGAATGCTTTTAACTGGATTAGTAGTATGGATTCAGACTCAAACCAATTCAAACAATACTAATACTAATACTAATACTATTACTAAGTTGATGGTTCGATTCTTCGTTCAAAATGGCATCTTCTTTTCTCTCGAGCACAGGCGCACAAGTACAAGGACCTGTATGCCACAGCTCAAATTGAATGATAACTCATCAGAAGACAAACAATGAAGCAAAGTAATCCGAGGAAAAGAAAACTACCAAACTACAACAGAGTAGAAAACTTGTTTGTTTCAATGGTGAAACTACGTGTATACCTAAGAACTGAAAGCCAGAGCAAATTAATCCAATCGCCAAACCGTTGCTTCTTCAACAAATCTAATATGTTTTAGTTTTAGATGTCTTCTTCTTCGAGTGCTTCCTTGGACCTGTGGTCTTCATCCCTAAGAAGAAAATCAGAGCACCAAAAAGTGCAATGTGCTGCAAAGAACATAAGATTCCATAAGGTTTAGTCAATTAAGATGAACGATATGAACCATATGGGGAAAAACAAGTTAAAAAGAAGATGGACAGACCTGCAAGAAATCACTAAACAACAGGATATCGAAAATAGGTTTCTGAGGGCTGTAGTTGAAGAAATCATACAGAACCGGAGTGATAATAGCCAATTGCAGAAGCTGAAAGAAAAGGCAATAAGAGAAGTCTTCAAAGATGTGCATAAATTTAGAGTAACAAATTTATTCTTGCTAAAATTAAGAACATGGTGAATCCATACCAGGAGATAAGCTCCAACTCTGCTGCCAAAAACAAACAGAAGGCCTCCAATCCCTTTAAGAGATAAAGAAATGGCAACCAAGTGTCTGACCTGCAGAAAATTATCAAAGTTCGAAAAAGAAAAGTTACACAAGACTCATATTGTCAACACTGAAGGTGAAAAATATTGTCTTACATCAATATCAGGTATCGCTACCCCCAGCTTGGAGGATAAATTTCTCCTCAAAACAGCTACTTTTAGAGCCAACTCCGCCGATGCTGGCCCACCATTATGGCCGAACTCATTAAACCTAAGCAATGGATGTATGTGAAGTCTTTAAAATGGTTTCCACAAAAATTGTGCA